TCGCATCATCTCGTTGTAAGTTTCCTCCATTGTGCGCACTCGGCTGTGCATGTCGTCAAGCTCCCGCTGGAGGGTGGCGAGGACCTCAGGATCCGCAGCTGGTACAGTCCTCCATGAGGTTTTCTTTGAGACTCCGCCTCAACCTCGATTTGTCTTGGCAGGCTTCAGATGAGTAGGAGGCAAGGTGGTATTCGCATTAAGGGTCGACCTCTGAGCTAGGTCAACCTCATGTCCTCCTCGGACTTGATCCTCAACTATCTTGGCGTCGACCTTGTGGTGGAGACCGTTATTACCGTTCAAACCTCTCCGATCTGTAGATTTAGCAGAGTTTGCTGGCTGAACCATCTCGGATGGATTATTTAGCGGGATGACTTAAGTTGTCCTTCCCATAGACGACACCAAATGTTTATGCAAGAATTAGCACAACGTCAAACTTCAGTCAAGCTCGAACTCTATCCTCACTCCAACCTGAGACTCTGAGGGAAGACCTGCACAAGAGGGCAAAATCTCCGACGCTCAAGTTAGTAAGTAGCTCGGACTCAATATTAAGTTCAAGGAGAAATTCGACACCTAATCGTGAAATGAGACCCTTTATTTATAGGTTTAAGATCCGACAGGGGTCACAACAAGCAGTTACTTTGGTCAAAGTTAAGATCGGACATGTCAAGTTTGAGCAGGTCGAACCCGGACATTTTCTACCCGTATTGGTAACTTAATTCCATAGAAAATGGCGAAGTTATCCACCTCGCAGGGTTTCGGGGCAGAGCTGCACGAAACTTCATTTGGTAGCATCTCCTTCAACAAATCTTTGTCCTCCACGTGACAATAATGTTTCCATCCCCAAACAATATTTATATATTTTAGGTGGAATTTTAATAGTTATGGGTTTTAGTATAATCATAAAAACAATAATAAGTAAGTTGGTAACGATTTATATATTTAATTGTAAACATAATTAATTTGTCAATTACAAAAAGAAATTAAATTTTCACATTAAAACAACGTAATTTTTTTTAAAGGTACTAAAACAACTTACGTGTTGCATGGAGATGCCAAATTGCATATTGGTGCAATTTACTATTTTTATATTTTTAAAATTAGTTTGAGTATAAATTTGAGTATATTTATTTGTAATTAATCAAAAAAAATCAAAATAGTATTGTTGTCAAAAACATTTTTCAAATATCGTACCTTTTTAATATAGTATAGATATAGATTATTGATAAAAGGAAGGTTGACTACTTCGATAGACAATCTTTCTTTATCTCGCTCCCAATTCAACAATAAAATAGTCTGAATTAATTGACAAATGTTTATTCAAGAAATTTCCTTCACAATTTCCAATCATTCTATCTAGAAAACAGATTGATGTCAAAAATTGAAAAATTGTAGGAACATATTTTCCACATAGTTGACTTTATTTATCTTGTGATCATAAACTTTCCACATAGTTGACAAAGTGGTTTTGCAGTTATTATTCCAGATTTGACCATCTTTAGCATTCCTTATTACCCCCCTATTTGTTAGTCTTTTATTTTTCTTTTTGGAAAGGCATTTTTTTCCTTAATAATAAAATGTCAAAAGCATTTGGTAATTCAAGTCTCTACATTGAGAAAAGAGATAGTGACTTAACTTTTGAATATATTAAAAATTCAAAATTTGTCAAAGCGAGCATAGTTCAGCGGCTCCAACAGAGAGCTTGCGAATTCGATCCCCCACCCCCACATGTTGTACTAAAAAATTAAAAGAATTTGATGCATCATATTTAGATATTTTTAGACATGTGATTTGGAGAATTATTTAATACATAAACTCAACTCATCCATCAACAGAATTCATTTGTTACTGTATGCTCGTAGTTTAGAAAAATGTTGATAAAATAATAATTTATAACATGTGAAATTTTTTAGTCTCTTACATTTTAACATTTTTCATTATACTTCACTATTAGTAAATATTAAAATTGATTAATGATAAACTTACCTGACGTGATATTCAATGAGTTGGTAGAAATTGAGAGAAAACAATTCAGCCATTTTGAAGTTCTTAAAAATTTGAAGGAATAAAAAAAAATTCTTTCTAATTACTCTTCTAAATTTCTGCGGACTCAAATCATGTCTAAGTTTATCCTTGGCCATTTTAAAATTTATCCAAAAATATTAAAGCATAAGTGATTAAATTGAAATTTTTTAGTTAGATTACAAATCTAGTCGTTGAATTTTCAAGTTTGTTTTCATAGGTCCATGAACTTTAAAAAAATTGTCTAATAGGTCCCTAAACTTTCAATTGTGCTAATAGCTTCTCGAAATTTTAAAATGTCTAGTATGCCTCTGAACTTTCAATTTTGTGTTTAGTAGATTCCCAACCTATCAGACACCTTTTTAAAGTTAAAAATTAATCACATACAAACTTGAGCATAGTTCAACAGGGTAAGACAATTATCTTTGAATAAATAGTCGTGAGTTTCAATTCCACTCCCACATGTTCTACTAAAAAAATCCAAACTTAAAAATTCAAAAGCCTAAACTTGTAATTAAACCATTAGAAAACGAAAAATTAAACACTGGAGACTAAATTGAAAAAAAAAAAATATACTAGCTGAAAAAATAAGGCTCTTTTAATAACTAATATACTTTTAGTTTACAGCTATTAAAAAAAGATGACTATTTATTCTCAAAATGAAGCTCACATATTGAATTAAGACTGCAGAATCTGCATTATGTACACAAAAAGAATTCGTGTGGAGAGTATCCAATCCATATACCAATGTAATGTACAGTTGAATGGCTTCAGGAACTTGGGAGATTTAACTTACTTTATCAAACCAAGAAACTAGCTGTTGAGCTGAAGGCCTCTCTTTAGGTGCCTCATTCACGCAAAGGCATGCTATATCGAGAACTCGTGTAATCGCTATCTCGTGCTGCTCGTTGTATATAAATGGATCGAACACTTCACTTTCTCTATTGTCTTTCCTCATTTGGAACACCCAAGAGATCAAGTCTCGAAGTCCTTTCGGTCTGCACATATCGATCGGCCTTTTACCGGTCAAAAGCTCTAATAGAACGACTCCAAAGCTGTACACATCGCCTTTGTAAGTAGCCACCGAGGATTGTCCATACTCGGGGGGGATGTAGCCCAGCGTACCAACAAGGTCGGTCGTTATGTGGGAATCATGGGGAAGTATGAGCCTGGCAAGCCCGAAATCGGCCAAATAAGCTCTGAAGTTCTCATCTAGAAGAATGTTACTCGACTTTATATCTCGATGTAGGATATGGGGTTCACAGGACTGATGCAAATAAGCCAGCCCCCCTGCGGCACCCTGAGCAATCCGCAGTCTGGTATCCCAGTCGAGGCAAGATGAGCCATCAGGTTTTTCATGTAACCAGTAATCTAAGCTACCATTCTCCATGAATGAATATATCAAAAGCTTGTCTTTTTTATATATACAATACCCCTGAAGAAGAACGAGATTCGGATGCTGAGCGCCTGAAAGTGTTTCGATTTCTGCTTGGAATTCTCTGTCCATTTGACCACAATCACCAGACAACCGTTTAATAGCTACATTTCTACCATCGGGAAGGGTGGCTTTGTAAACTAAACCAAAACCCCCACATCCGATGATATTTGCTTGATCGAAGTCATTTGTTGATTTCAAAATGTCGTCCAGCGAGAGACTTCCATTGTTATTGTTTCTGAACAAAACTACCAATCCTGCCTTGTCTTCCTCCAAGTCATTACAATCAGTGTTGGACACATCTTTTTCAGGATCTTGAACTCTTCCCCGAGGTACTCGAAGCATAAACACAACCACGAGAGTTGCAAGAAACATGACCCCTAACACAATACCGAAAATCATACCTATAATAGTCCCAATAACTACTCCTGAGTTGTGGGACGGTACAAGATGATTTTGGTCAATTGATATACAGGAATCGCGACCAACGCAATAACTGTTTCCTTCAAAGCTAGAGTTACCAAAGGTATGAAACTGACCTCCTTTAGGAATCACCCCGTTTAATTGATTGTATGCAACACTGAACTTTGACAAAAAATTGAGTTTTTCCAGTGAAGGTGGAATTATTCCTGAAAGATTGTTATGAGACAAATCCAGAGTCTCTAAACTAACCATCTCAGAGAGGGTACTCGGAATCGATCCCAACAAATTGTTGATTTTCAAATCAAGAACTTGAATCTTTTTAAGATTTCCAAACTCTGGCCAGATTGGCCCAGTGAGACCGTTCAGGCTGAGGTTCAGTGTGGTTTGAAATCTCCAAACTTGATTGTACCGCAATGCAGTTCCGTTTCTTTTCAAGAAAAGGGAGAAATCCGGTTGGGACGCTTCGTTCAACGAGATGTTTCTGCCGATGAAACTCATCAATTCAGTCATCTCTTTTGGTATATCTCCAGTGAATGAATTATTAGATAAATCCAAGTAAAACAGAATCTGAAACTCGCCAAACCAGGACGGAATAGTTCCTCGGAGACAGTTCCATGACAAATCCAACAGCTCCAACTTGGTAGAACCTCTCAACCACTGGGGAATCATTCCCTTCAAACCACAATTAGCAATTACCAAAACTCGGAGGCTCTTGAAATGCAAGTTAGGATCATCTCCCAACTCTTCACCTTGGAAGTTAGAGGTAAGAATCAGAGCACTCAAATTCTGGCAATGTTGCAAGATATTAAGAGCAGACGAAACATTAACGATGCTCACCCTCGAGAGCGATAAATACATGAGGCTCTGGAAATTCCTAAAGCTTTCGGGTATCTGACCGCCGAGGTTGTTCCTTGCAAGGTTTATACTTCTCAGTTGGGTACAAGAGGGAAGATTACTTGGTATAGGGCCAACGAACCTATTAGAGCCTAAGTCTAGTGAAATCAAGTTTGCCATTGCTGAACAATCAAGATCAAGAGTTCCCTCTATCGAATTGTTCCTCAAATTAAGGACAGTAAGTGAAGGAGAACTTGACAAGGACTTGGGAACCTTCCCACTAAACCTATTAGACTCTGCAATAAAGTACCCCAAATTCACAGAATTATAAAAAACATCAGGAATTTCTCCAGAAAACCCATTAGATGACAAATACAACCGAACAAGGCTCGTGAGATTACCAACACCACCGCTCAAAGAACCAGAGAGCTTATTATTCTGAATGCTAAAATGGTTCAATTTTCGCAGCCCAAAAGCTTCGTCAGGTATTCCACCACTAATGAAATTCGATTCAAGATACAGTTCCTCCAAGGAATTACACTTAGCAAGTTCAACAGGAAACATACCAGATAAATGGTTGAAACCCAGATCCAGAACTTCAATTCTGGAGGAGTTGGCACAAACCACATGTGGAATAGAACCATGGAATGAATTGTGAGAAACATTAAGAAGCTGAATGGAAGGCAAATTGATGGTGATACTAGAGATACTCCCGGAGAAGTTGTTGAAGCTGAGATCGAGAATTTCCAAGTGTGGGAGATGAAACAGGGGCATGGGAATCGAGCCGGTGAGGAAATTGGAGGAGAGATTGAGGACTCTGAGTTGTTCCAAGCTTCCAATGGAGTCTGGTAATTGACCCATTAGCCTTTTCCCGCCGAGCTCCATCTTGACAACCCTTCCGGAAGAATCACAAGTGAGGCCGACGCAATTGCAGCAATTCGTCGAACAGTTGGTGTTCCATCCGTCGATTCTGGATTCTAAGGCTGTGTGGAATTCGTCCAAGGCTCTGGAATCATCGGAATGGCAAATTGGGAGATTCTGAGCATTGGTGAGATGTAATTGGAAGAAGAAACCCATAAAAACGAGGATTAACAAGAATTTATGAACACCCATCTGGAATATGGGGACGGACAAATTGCAACCGGCAACAGCAACGATCTTGTTTTGAGAATCAAAATTAGAGAGAGAGAGGAGGTGGTTGTGAATTGAATATGGGTTACGTAAAGGGACGAGGGAAATGGAAATGGAAATGGTAAAAAAAAGGGTCAAAGGTCAGAGAAGGTGATGTAACGGTGAAGCTCCATTGTCAAAGCTGGACAATGGTGGCAAAAAGAGTCAAATGGTTGGTGGCTGGAGCCTGCAGGGGGTCATCACGTGCGCTGACAACGTAGACATTTTAAAATTTCCTTTTTTTTTCTCTTTTCTTTTATTTTAGTGTATAAATGATTTTTTTGGAATTTTTTTTTAATACGGAACATGTAAGGGTTGAGTTTGAACTCACACGGGAATATATTTTGACCTACGCTCAAATTGACAAATAATATTGGTGTTGATAGTGACCAGGTGGAGGTCATGTGATCATGGATTAATATATATATCTATATTTTTTTAGTATAACATGTAGGGTGGAGATTTAAACTCTTAAACTCATGGTTGGATACATGTGCCCTAATCTATCGAGTCATGTTATGGTTGACATCAAAGATTAAAATATTTGTGAACATATGGATATATTCTTAAATTGAAAGCTGGTTTGCTAGAGCGAGTATAGTTTAGCGGTAATTGACACATAACTCCAATTAAAAAGTTGTGAGTTCGAACCCTCACCCCCACACAGGATGGTTTTGATATGTCTTGTAAATAAATATATATGAAGTATAAAAAATATAATCAATTAGTCACCGATATGAATATAAATATTAATAATAACATCTATAACTCATTTCAGGATGGTAAATAACTTCACTATTAATTGAAATAATTTTTAATTTTTTTTATTTATATTATTACTAATATATCAATAAAACTGCAATCTATTTTAATCTTGGCATGCCCTAGATTTTTTTCTTTTTAACTCTTTCAATTAGTGTATGTTTTTTTTAACAGCAAATACGAGATGATAATTTGAACCTCTAATCTGGAAGGAGAAGTCTGAAGTTTTCTTACTGAGAACTTTTTACCGGTTAACTTTTTGAATATAAAATACTTCAATTCTAAAAAATTAGGACAAATTATAAGAAAAATACAAAATCTTTAGTGTTTTACCACAAATTAAGGGTAGCTTAATCGTCCCGCCCTAAAAGGAAGAAGTAGAGGGCGAAGTAGATGTCTTAATCAGTGAGTAATGAGCTCGTATTGACTTCTAGAGATGTGTTTAAATGGTTTATTGAGTTTTTTTTTAGTCTTTCTTATTAAAAAAGTTAAATTACAAGTTTTACCTATTAACTTTGTAGGTTGTGTCTAACATATTCTCAAACTTAAAATGTGTTCGGTAAATTCATAAACTTCCAATATTGTATTTAGTAGGTTTTAAAAAATGTAGTTATGTGATTAATAGATTTTTGATTTATTATAAACTTATTAAAGTTTATAGAACTATGGAAACAAAATTGAACTCTTCCAACACTTTTTTAAGTTTAGATTTCACTGGTCAAATATGATACTTTTTTTCAATGACTTTTTCTAGGCATGAACTTCAAATTTAGTGACCAAACTTGTGATTTAATCTCTTACTTTTTAAACAAGTTTCAGTTGTATCATTTTTGTTGATGAAAGCTAATTTTGACTAATGATAAGCCTTTGATACTTTTGACGATCAGCTTGGAGACATTTAGAATATATTAGATCATTGAAGTACATCTCACTTTTCCTTTAAATTTATGCAAATTCGCCGACATGGAACTAAAACATATATTTAAAATCATGTAAGTAGCTAGTTAAAATTTTGAATAATAAGGACAAAGTTTTTTTTTTAAAAAAGTACCAAAATATAAGAGATTAGAACATATATTTAGTATTTTTTTTTTTTGAAATTTAAGTTAAATATTTTATCTGGTTCTTAGATTTTCAAATTTCACATTTTTATTCATGAGGTTTCAATATTAACATTGGTATCTACCGCGGTTAATTTTTCATTAGTTCTCTTAACAAAAATTAATGTGGCTTTTAAAAAAAAATAAAAAAAAATCTTATGATGCGACAGTATTTAAAAGAAAATTAAAAATGTATTTAGTGATGGGTAAAAATAAATAATCTAAAACACTGTCTCTATAACTGAAAATGGAATAATATGAGTTGTTCATTCGATCGTGGAGACCTTCATTTTGGGTGGGATTCGTTTGTCTTTTTTTATTTTTTATTCGACTTCATCGATATCAGATGATCCAACCTTTTCTTCGCTTCGGTAGTGAATCACCACCTACCCGAACGAAAGTGGAGTCTCCAGAGATCAATCAACAGGGCACCTTCAAAGTTGTATCCAAGTTGTAATAAAAGAAAGAAKAAAGAATAAGAATCCAACTAGAGAACTGAAGGTTCCTAAGACCACTTAGGTAAGGTCACTTACGGTAAGGCGCGCTGGGCATGAATCTAGTAGTTAGTTTTTCTAGCAGGCAGGTCACACGTACTATAACAATCGTTTGAAAAAAAAAATAAACAAACAACAGACTAACTATACTAGCAAACCAAGAAAGCACAAACCTTACTGGATAGGGGCAAGTTGAAGAAGGTTTGGGTTTCGAGGAGCTACCAGGAGCGAGAGGTTTCAACTGCCCGATAGTCGGGAAGAGCCTTAAACTTTCTGCAGATACTTACCTTTTGGTCAGACATAAATACCTTAACCTATTGAACTATGCTTAGGTTGGTATATGAATTTTTTTTTCATACTACTACTATTTATTGTTTTGCAATTTAGTACGTAGCATTTAAAAATAATGTAAGAAAAAAGGTTGAAGAAAAAAATAAAATAGATAAGAAAAATGGTAAGGCCCACAGAATTAGAAGTCAAGTAGATTACAAATCAATATAAAAAAAGAAAGATGTACTCACGAATTTACACAAGGAAAGTATATAAAAGGAATCCTCAATTATGGTAAAACGGGAGCTCATGCTGAGCTGTGATAGCCGGCATCAAAAGGGAGGATTTGCATTCTCTCTTTAGTACACTGTTCTGACATCCCTCTCAAACCTGTGGGTGAGGCAATAACTCTAAATTTAGACTTGGATGCAGTGAACTTAGTTTTTGATAGTCCTTTAGTCAAGCTGTTAGCAATTTGATTACCATCAGGCACATAACAATGAAATGTTCATCTAACTCAATATGTTTGATCACTCAACGAATGAAATTTGATCACCTAGTGTTTTAGCAAGGATCTTATCCCTAATGAACTAACGATCTCAATATGTTTAGTTATTGAATGAAATATTGGGTTAGCAGCTAAAATAGCGGAATTATGTTATCAAACCACAACGTAGATGTTGCGGGTAAATGTTGATGAATTTTAGCCAGAAGAGATTCAAGCGAACTCAAGAGTCAAAGCTCTATATTTAGACTTGGTGCTCGACCGAGACACAACCTGTTCCTTCTGGGAGGTCCATGATGTGAAGTTAGTAAGAAACTACTCTTGCAATATTTGAGTTATTTCAGAACTGGTAATTAGTTCAAACAGTTTAGTCACTCTGTTGTATTCAATCTATTATGGGCAGAAGTCTTTATATATTCTGTCATCTTCCGTAAATCAATATAAGAGATGAGGCTAATTTTAAGAATAGTATCTGGTTCTCTCAGTATCAAAATGTCAGATTAGCTCAATGATAATTGATATATATATCCAACTAAAAAGTTGTGAGTCTATCATCCACCCCACATGTTGTACTATAATATATATATGTGTGTGTGGTATCAGGGCTTCCCTGTTTAACATTATTTTTTTTTCTCAATTCCACCACAACTGACTCTAATCTTTCACATAACTCAAAGAGGTCAACTTCCTCTTCAAGAATTAATCCTCGCCAACCGTGTCAAAACTATCAAACTCATAGAGAGCAATTATTTCCTATGAAAATTGTAAAGCCATGTACTCTCCAGGGACGTTCTTTAGAAAAATTATTGTCAATTACTAGCATAGATGAGGCTACTGCAGCATCAACAGTAGAAAATCTAGTGTACAATTCTTGGATTTGTAAAAAAATCAATGTTGGGAATTCTCTACCTCGATTGATAGGAGAATGTGTGCAAGCAGACACAGTCACAAGTAATATAGGGAAAAGTAATTCCAAGTTTGTATCCTCATGGACTTTTGGTTCAAAATGAATTTGATGAAATATTTCAAACTGTGATTGGGATTATTGGTAAAATAGTTGATGAAGTTGTGATTTGGTTTTAAAAATATCAAAATACTGAATAAAAACAACCCCTCTGTTTCATGCCTTATTAGACAGAATGACACATTGGTGAAAAAAGCATCAGACGCTACTTGACACTTTTCTGAAAACTGAGTCATGTTCTACTCTTATCATGAACCGCTTTTGGTTGTTTCAGAGCCTAGGGTAATCTACTGTCATATCTCATATGTCTTTGAATGGTTACAATCCACGAAAATTATTATCAACTCACCTACTTTTACGATCGGATGACCTATGTCTAGGATCATGTTTTATGTGCTTATGTTTAAGTCATATCCCATATTAACTAATCTCAACTAATTTACCCAACCTAACCCTTTTAGTATTAGGCTTCAGTCTAGCAAAAATTTTTGAGTGGCCAACTTAAGAAATTGCTTGAAAAATGAGTTTGTTGACAAGCTAACCAAGAAAGCGCCAGACACTATTTGAGTTTTGTCACCCTTGTTAAAATTAGGGAGAGTTACAAATATGGCAAAACAATTTAAGGAAATAATAAATTTAGCACCTACATTCTAGTTTTGCAAATATAGCAAAATTTTTAGAAAAAAACAGAACTCCAATAATAAAATGTCAAATTTACCCTCGTAGCACTGATATAACACTGATATATACTCTATATACCTCAGATTTACTACTGATATAACTATGATATCCATTAATATAATTTCTTATATGATTAAATTATTTACTATTTATTGATTTACCACTGATATATGTGTGTTATATAATTGATATGCATTTGATATACCACTGATATACAATTGATTTACTTTTGATATAACTATGATATCTATTAATATAATTTCT